TATTATTATTATTATTATTATTATTATTATTATTATTATTATTATTATTATTATTATTATTATTATTATTATTATTATTATTATTATTATTATTTTCCCTTCCTTTTCTGTCCTATTAAACTGTCTTTATCTCAACCCACAAATTTTACTCCTTTTTTCCTGATTCTCTCCCCCATCCCACTGGGGGTTGGAGTGAGCAAACGGCTGCATGGTGTTTAGCTGCCTGCCGGGTTAAACCACAACAGCAACTTTGTTTAGCGCTTTCAAAAAAGCCCTTCTTAATTTTCAGTAGTCTAAGACATTATTCTGATGCAGAGTCTAGCTCTAGCAATCACATCTTCATGGCTTCAGCGCTGGATGGTCATAGTAAGCTTGATACGCATTTGAAAGTCACTTGACCAAGGGCAGCCAGGTAGAAAATCCATTTGCTGCACTGTTTGCCTGTCAACATGGACAAAAGTAGCTGGGGAGAGTCTGTTACTCTGACTCCCTACATGGGCCTCTCTCTGTTTCTGTCCCTGGCTACAGGGGTCTGAGTTTTAATTTCTCATAATGCAGGATCTACCAGTTTTAAAGACATCTTGAAGACCTCTTATCTGAAAGCTGATTTTAGGAGATGTCAGAAGAAAACCCTTTATTGGACTTTTCTCCCTTCTTATTTTGAAAATAACATCAACATCCATACAGACCTTCCTTCAACAGAAATCATAGAGCTTGAGAGTGTTTTATTTTTCTGCATGATAATTTTAATTAAGGATTATTTTTATTGTACATAAAGCTGACGTGTTAAAAAGAATAACTACATGACTTGCCGTAGTGCTGTTGGAGCCCACGCTAGCATGTGATCTTCCTGAGTACACTGAAAGGACAGCTTAGAAGGCTGGATGAGGCATCATCTGGGAGGATGAGTAAATGAACCCAGGTATCTCTGGGCACTTTCACACAGAGGGAAGAGCTGAATGGCTCAAGTGAACCGTTCCATTAACACGTTCTCTGTGTTACTCTCTCCTGTTTCTGTTCAGTCTCATCGGTCTTGTTCTCTGTTGGACAGTTCTAGATTTGTCTGGCAAGCTGTGAAAACGGAGAAGGATATAGCGAGGCAGTAGGCCAAATTTCAATGCTCTGTCTGATAGCTCCTGATTGTCAAGCCAAATAGCAGCTCCTCAACTAAAATTAGTGGAAGGTATAAGTGATTAGCATTTCAAAAAACTAGGTATGTTTGTCAAATGACTCCTACTACAGTTGCATTCAGAACTTGCTGCATTGGCTCTCTTAATGATCATACTGGATTGTGTGGTCTGAAGATCAAAATACATTTGTACTCAAGCTGCAAACATCTTATGCTGTAGAGTCTTAAGTTGTCAAAAGATCTGAGGATTCAGTGATGCCACAGTACAGATATTTTCTAAAAAAGCATCGTGTCCCACAGGGAGATACTAGGATAATAGTACCGGTCCAAAAGTTTGGCTTTTTCATAAGGAACTAAATAGGAGTCAGTTAGAAAACCAAACAACAGGTCTCACGCAGCACATCTTAGATTTCCTATATTGTCAGTGGCATCACTACTGAGGATACTTAGGCTTGAGAATTTTACCTACTGCTTGGGCTCTGAAGGTGCTGCATGAATTTAATTAATCAAAATGTAGGTTGAACGATTCAATGAATCAACTTGTGGGTTGAAAAAGTATGACAGCTAATTTAGGAAGTGATCTGTAATTGTATTCTTAAAGGATTGAAGGAAATAAGTCTTTAACTTGCATTTTAGAATCATAGAACAGGCCAGGTTTGAAGGGACCTCAAAGATCGTCTGTTCCAACCTTTCGTGGGAAAGGGAGCCTAGATGAGATGATTTAGCGCCCTGTCTTGTCGTGTCTTGAAAACCTCCAGCGATGGGGACTCCACCACATCCCTGGGGAGGTTGTTCCAGTGATTGATTGTTTTCACTCTAAAAAATGTTTTTTTTTATTGAGATGAAATCTCTCCCAGTGCAACTTGTACCCGTTTGCCCCTTGTCTTTTCCATGGCTTCTTGTGAAAAGAGAGCCTTCATCTTCTTTGTAGCTGCCCTTTAAGTACTGGAATACTGTGATGAGATTCCCTGAGCCCTCTTTTCTCCAGGAAGAAGAGACCTAGCTCCTTCAGTCTTTTCTCACAGGGCAGGTTCTCCAGCCCTTTGATCATCTTCTCCTTTGGACGCTGTCCGGTCTGTCTGCGTCTTTCTTGAATTGAGGAGACCAGAACTGGACACAGTACTCCAGGTGCGGCCTGACAAGCACTGAGTAGAATGGGATGGTCACATCTCTCTCTCTGTAGTAACGCCCCTGTGGATGCAGCCCAGGATCCCATTTGCCTTCGTTGCTGCAGTGGTGCACTGCTGACTCATGTTCAGCTTGTTGTCCACCAGGACCCCCAGGTCCCTTTCAGCAAGGCTGCTCCCCAGCCACACAGATCCCAGCCTGTATTAGGCTCTTTGGTTATTTCATCTCAGGTGCAGGACCTTGCCCTTCCCTTGAACTTCTTACAGTTCTTGCTTGCCCACTCTTCCAACCTTTCCAGGTCTCTTGCTAAGGTGGCAGTCCCTTCTGATGTGTCCAGCTCACCACCATCAGCAAACCTGGTGAGGGTGCTTTCGATCCCATCATCCAGATCCCTTATGAAGATGTTGAACAGCGTGGGGCACAGCATCGATCCCTGGGGGACCCCACTTGTGACAGGCTGCCAGCCGGAGTAAAAACCATTGATGATGGTTGGTGAGGTGGTGGTGGATGCCCCATCCCTGGAAACATTCAAGGTCAGGTTGGACGGGGCTCTGAGCAACCTGATCTAGTTGAAGATGTCCCTGCCCACGGCAGGGGGGGTTGGACTAGATGACCTTTAGAGGTCCCTTCCAACCCAAACTATTCTATGATTCTATGATCACCCTCTGAGCGTGACCTGCAAGCCAGTTCCCTACCCATCTTGCATACCACCCATTCAGTCTGTGTCTTGCCAATTTGTCCAGGAGAAGGCTGTGGGAAACAGTGTCCAACACTTTGTTGAAGCCCAGCTGAACAACATCCACTGCTCTCCCCATGTGGACAGAAATTTCATCTATGTAGACACATCCCACATAGACAGTGGGATCGAGTGCACCTTCAGCAAGTTTGCAGATGACACCAAGCTGAGTGGTGCGGTCAACATGCC